TTCATGAATATATCCTAGAATTCATTTTGACTTGTCGATGTTATTAATATGTTTTTCATATGATAGATTTAAGTTGGTTTCTCCAAGTCATTTATCAGAGTTTATTAGAATTTTGCTAGTTTGAGTGAAATTCAGAATCTTTACTTCCTTTTTCCATTTGCCTTCCCTAGTTTATAGCATAACAAGTTAGATAACTTTTCTTTATCTAGTGAAAATCACATTAGGTAGTTTTGTTATATTTATTCCTTCAATTATCATTATTAAAAATATTCAAGAAGAGAAAAAACTGTATTTTATCCTCATTTTGCTCTTTCTGTTCATTCTTCATTCCAAGTTCCAAGATTCTTCTTATCCTTTCTTTTGGTTTACCAGAACTTCTTTCTGCCAATCTGTTAGATAATTTTGTTGCTAGCAATTTTTTTCTATTCCTTTGTCCTAGAATACCTTTGTTTCCCTTCATCTCTAAAAGATTATTTCACTAGACATAGAATTTGGGGTTGGCAGTTATTCCCTTTTAACCCTTGAAAAATACGGTTCTACTTTTTCTTGACCTCCAAGATTTCTGAAAACTCAGCTTCCATTTGATTGTTTTTCCCTTGGTAGGAAGATGTCCTTTGTTTTTAATCCTTTTAATATTTTTTGAAGACATGTTTTTCTTGAAATTTTATGTAATATGTGTGGAGGATTCGTTTTACCCCTTGAGTAAAAGGTTTGTGTCTTATAAACTTTAGGGGTGATATTTCACCTTTATACTTTGAATGTTTTCTTGACTATAATACCTCTATCGTCTTTTCCTGGAGTGTGAAGGGCACAAATATTAAATGTTTCTTTTTCCCATACTTTTTATTTGCATCAAGTAGTTGTTACAGGAGGGGTTATTTTGGCAAATCTATATATACATAAAATGTACCTTTATCAGACTCATCCCTTCACTTAGGGGCAAGGACAAGAACAACTTATCCCTAAGATACTGTTTGTCATTTTCTATTTTCTCTGGGTTGATGGAATCATTTTTATCATTTTATCTTATTTCTACTCATCTTTCGCTCTGTTCTTTCCAGTCTACTGTGATCATCCAGAGAGTTATAAGTTTTAGTTATTTTGTTATTCTAAAACTTGTATCTTTTGTTCTTTGTGTGTTTCATCTCTGTGCTAAACCATTAAAAATTGCAAACATATTCATAATTCTACAATAAGCCAATTTTATATTGACTCAGTCTCTTGTCAGATGATTCCAACATCTATGCCACCTCAGTGTTGTTTTCTGTTGTTTTTCTGTATGTTTCCATTGTCCTTGCTCTTGGTAAGAGTGATTTTTCACTAGTGTTCTATTTGCAAATCTATTTGAGACTTTAGCTCTTATTCAAATCTCTTTCAGAACATGAATAGAAGAAATTTTTCATTATTTTTCCAAGTAGGTTCTGCTAAACGTCTTATCTCACCAATTAGCCTGCTCTGACTCTTGGGAGGGGCCACTATATCACTGCCTGGTGGCAGTAGGATCTTTTTGTTCTTCTTTATGAATCCATGGGCATTGTTTGGCTTCCTGGTAAGAGGTAAGACCTCACTTTACTATTCTCCACATGGTTTCCATTGGCACCATCACAGGGAGGCCCCATTGCCAGTGGATAACCTTGTAGTGCCCTTTTGCTCAAACATGGAGGGAATGCTGGAATAGATGGCTGTCTCAGACATTTTTTATAAGAATTTTCTTCCCATCAAGTGAGAAAAATGTCCTGCTCCTCTAAATCTTATCTAATAAGATGAAGTGTTTATGTGTAGGCCTTTGCTCTACTTTCCCTTCTACGTAAGGTGGGCTCAGAAAAAAGTTTTTTTTTTAAATTAAATAAATATATGAGATCACTACTACCAGCTATGATGGTGTCTCATTCATGCTCATGTTAACAAGGTTTTTCTGTAGTCCAAGTCTTACATATGAAACACAAACATTGACAGCATATGTTGATTAAATTCTCAACATATGTTAGTTAGTTTCCCAAATCAATATCCAGGTCTTGTTTGGCATTACTACGTCTTTGTTTTTCCCTCAGGATTTCTATACTCAGTGACTAATCCATACTTATTAATTAATACTCTTTTGAAGCCAAACTTTCTGGTCTGTTTAGACTATGGGTTTGTGGCATTTTTTTCCTCCTAAGCTAGGAAGTTCATGAACAGTGTAATACTTCAGAAATTAAAGTATTTTAGAAAGTTAGAGTTGGGAATAGTCTGAACACTTTAGAAAGTTTTTATTGTGAGATAACTGGTATATATAGATGGTTCATATTTATGGGGTACTAGGTGATGTTTACAAATCAAGGAAAAGCATATCTATGTCCACAAAAGTTGAACATTTCTTTTAGATGGCAACACTCAGAATCCTCTCCCCTTTCAAGTCTTTTATCAGCATCAGTTAGTTGTCCAGGGGGTTGATTTTGACATGTGCAAACCTTGACCACACACATCCCTACCTCATTCTTCCTCATCTGCCTTCTCCCATCCCAAGCAAATCAATCTTAAAGACTATATTCTTACCTATCACACATGCACATGAAAATTTCTTTTACAACATTCACCTCCTTCCTCCTCTTTAGTCACCTTAACTACTGCTTTCATTAAAAGGAACAGCTTCAACAGGAACTATTACATTTGTATCTTTCAAATTCAAAGTGTATGTGACTTCTTCAAAGAGAATTCACAGTAAACCCCCCACACCCCCCCACACACAGTGCTTTAATTAGATTGAATTCTTAATCTCACTTTCCCCATACCTGTTACCCCTTATTGTTCAATAGCATTTAAGCATTCATTTGCCATTCTTACAAATGCAAGGGATTTTGGTGGTGGTCTCTCTTTAACATTCTCTTTAAGGATCCTCACTTTTACCTTTAAAACTATGCGAATTTATCATAATTTCTAGTGCATAAAGTACCCTAGAACACAATAAAAACACCTTACTCATACATGTAATTGAAAAAGTTCAGTTTAATGAGAGTAGATGTATAGTTATCAAAGGCTGGAGAAATGCATAAGGAAAATTCAGGGAAAAATTGGTCATTGAGTAATAAGTAACAGTAGCTGTTTTAAGTGCATTTGCTCATTGATTCCTTAAAATAAATTCATAATATATATTTTACCAATAGTTTCACATGGTCTCATACTTAGTAAAACTGAAACTGGGATTAAAGACTTTCTGTAAGTATAGAATTAGTCAGCATTCATACAGTGCACTAGCCTACCATTCAATTAATTTAATGAGTGGGCCAATATTTTTTTTTATTTTTTTGGTTCCCCCCCCCAGGCCAATATTTTTAAATCAAGACATTTTACATATTGTGGGAAATTTTAAAGAAAACAAAGAGATTTGTTTGCCTTTATTTGTATATTTACTAATCTAATCTATGTATTGAGTTCCCATGCATTAAATACTTTTCATAGTAGGACTGGTAATCAAAGAAGTCTAGGGCTATTGTGTTAGGTGATCTTTTTAGATATTTGCTGGACTTAATGTAAACAATATTTTTATCATGCCTACTATTATACTTTCCCTTAAAAATGCATGGTCCTTGAAGAGCACAATTTATATTTTTTGGTTTTTGGATTTTGGTTTTTTTGGGTCCGGTCGTGGCCCTGAACTCTGGGCCCCTCAGCTCTTCAGCTCAAGGCTAGCACTCTACCACTTGAGCCACAGCGCCACTTCTGGCTTTTTTTTTTTGCTTATGGGTGCTGAGGAATCGAACCTAGGGCCTCAGGCATGCAAGGCAAGTGCTCTACCACTGAGCTACCTTCCCAGCTCCACAATTTATATTTTAACATCTGAAATTTTCCATGAAAAAAAACTCTAGGTTAGAAAGAAAGTATTTACATATGTATAGAATTCATGTTAGCATGACTCCTGCTGATTATGATTTTCTCTTCTCTCCTCCTCTCTGTTCTCTTTTCCTACTTACCCTTTCTTATTTTGTTCTTTCAATGCCCCCAGTTTTTCTCCCTTCTCCTCCTCTTCTTCTTATATCCTCCCTTTCCTTCTCTCCCTCCCCCCCTTTATCTCTCTCTCCCTGTCAGTCTTTATGTCTCTGGTAAATATGTATTTATTTTAGCATTTTTTTATTAATCATGAAAATTAAGGTTTATGATACACAAATGAGGCTGAAGGGGCAGATTGTTGAATTAGATAGGTACATTTTCAATCCAGATTTGTGACTAAGGAGTCTCCTTTGCAAAATATTTAATTCAATTATCTTACTACCCACAATACAGTAATCATAAGCACTAATGTAAATAATGTAATAAAATGCAGTAAGGTAAAAAATAGAGTATACAAGTACATGCTTACCTTATGTCATAACAAGATAATTTTAAACTATCACTCTATTCGTCCAAAAGTAAGACATTTTTAGAATTGAGTAAATTCAAGGTAAATCTTACAGTCACAGACAGGAAATGACAATTCTGTTTCATTGTCTTTTTAAAAAATGGCCTTTATTCAGAAAATGCTAAATCAATGAATCAACAAGGCTAATTTCTCATAGAAGGAAAAGAAAGAAAATTACGTTCGTTAGCTTTTCTCTCCTTATGTGCATATGGCCATGCCTGTGAAAATCATTCCTCTCCTTATTCTGTCAATCTGTCTAATTTGAGTTTAAGAGACGTAACATTGTAGTAGCAAGAGGCAAAAATAAAGAAATATTTATTTATTTATTTATTTACTTATTCCTTTCCTCCCTCCCTCCTTCCTTTCCCTCCCTTCTTTCCTTCCTTCCTTCCTTTCTTCCTTCCTTCTTTCTATCTTTCTCTCTATCTTTCTTTCTTCCTTCCTTAGTTATGGGGCTTCAACTTGGGGCCTGAGCGCTATCCTTGAGCTTTTACGCTGAAGGCTAACACTTTTCCACTTTGAGTCACAGTGCTACTTCCTCTGTTGCTCTCGAGTGAGATGTTTCTAAAGATGCAATCATCTGAGTACGTCTTGATGAAGGAATTTTTAACCATTACAGGAAAACCTAGAGACACCCGTGTTTCCGATACAAAAGGGATCACTGAACCTCCTGAGGCAGAAATGGGAATCCAGCGATTACCAGAGAAGTGGGTGCTGGCCTGAGGACAGTTGGTGCAGGCTCCCTCAGCCCAGGGAAAGCCCATTGGCACCGGAGCCTCCAGATCCTCTCAGTCTGCCCTGCAGCCCAGGGGAAGAGATGCTCAGTGCAGAGACTGAAGAGGAGAGTCCTGAGGATGAGACTGACCGCTCTCGGGAATGCGGCCGGCCTGAAGTTCTGAAGGAAGCTTCCCTGACTGGACGCCGTAGAATCGAGCGCTTTTCCATTGCCTTGGATGAGCTAAGGAGTGTGTTTGAGGGTCCCAAATGTGGAAGCCAATGGACTGGACCAGCTCAATACACTGGAAAGGTAAGAGGACATTGATGAAGTCTAGTGTGTAGTTGACAAGGTTTGCAGCTTGCCTGGGCTGACATTTATTCTCAAGTACTTAATCTCGACTGCACTCCAGGCAGATGTGTAGAAGCAGTCGTGCTATGCATTGCGAAATGTGACATCTTCTATTATTGACTTCAACTATGATCTATTCCAGTGGGGATCTGGCTTCCTTCCATAACCACAAAGGCAAGTCTGACATCCCTCTTTTGTTGTTGCCGTGTTTCCACAATGAGGTTGTCAGTTCCTTGGAGACTGTGACAACCTCTAACCACTGTGGGCAGCATAAGCATCTAGCCATGGTGGCCACATTCAGTAAGAACTGTGGACAAGTTTCAAGTTGTTTCTCTTTTTCTTCTGAAATCTTGAGAAATTTAGTATATAATAAATAAGCTGATACTAGACTAGCAGAAAATTGTGGTATGTGCCTAAACCCGGGACTAACACATACAGAATGAAACCTACACAAGGGCTATAGTTAAAGGTTAAATGGCATTCTAAGTATAGAACAAACTAGAGGCTGAATGAGTGGCAACAGGTTACAGATGCTGAGGAGGAGACTATAATGTAAGAAAGTCCTGTCTTATTATGCAGACAAAGTCCCAGTGGCTCTTATCAGCAAACCATCTTGGTCAGCTCTCTCTGTGCCAGGTATTAGGCTTCCAATCTCTTCACTCTATAGAAAGATCTTTCTCTGGTCACATTGAAAGCTATGAGTTGAAAATTCTGCTGCTCGCTTCTACTTTAAACTCTTATAGGCATATTCAAATTTATTTATTTATTTATAACCAAAGCAAAGCTTTGCAGAATCATTCTTGTGTTTGCAGTGGTCTGAAGTTTTGTTTTGGTTTGTTTTTAAATAACCAACCCAAAATATTCAAGGACATATGTTTGGATAGGAATACAGTGATCTCTCTCATAACTTGTCAGTAATGATGGAATGCAACAAAAGAAGGCTTTGAAACCACAGGACTTGATTTAGAAACCAAAAACCTAGCATTTGCTTCCATAACTGGATAATATTTAACCTTTCAAACACAAATGTTTTAATCTATTGCTTGATTTTTTTATTTTAGGGGATTATAGGTAATATGTTTAACCCATTAAGCATAGAGTCCCAATATTTTGTGGTAGATGAAGATCACACCATGTTAATTAGGATGATTCATATGAAATAAGTTACTAGCTAAAGGAGGTATCTAATCAAATGTAGAAAATATAGCTAAGAAGATTATTAGCTAGGACTATATTTATACTTTTGTTGTGAAGTTAATGCAATTATAATTTCAAGTTGAATGATTGTAATTTGTTACAATAAGAGATAATGTAATAGAGTTCCCCATGGCTTCCCTTATTTGCAATAACTAGTACATGTCTGAGTCAAGCAGTAAAGGTCAGATAAGTTGATGTTAGGGAAATGAACCCTAAGATATGAATTCAAATGTTTTTTTCTTTCATGCAATTGTTTCTAACACATTTATAAGATTATTTCTTTGTTGCTTTGTATGTCCTCCCCCACGGTATAACCCCTGCTTTCACTGTATTTGAGGTCGGTATAATTTGTGGAGGGGAAGGGGAAAAACAAATCGTTTAAATAGGGATACAGGTGGACGCATTGCAACAATGAGATGTACAAGTCATTATGTTGAAAACGAACTTTACAACTTTGGTGCGGGGGAAGGGGGGAAGGGTTGGGTGGGGGAGTGGGGGCAGGGGATTTTAAGGGATGGGAAGGGGAAACAAAGGAGGAGTCTATAATGCTTGGTAAGAATTGTACTCATTATCTTGGCCATGTAATTGTATCCCCTCTGTTCAGTATTTTCACAATAAAAAAGAAAGAAAAAAAAAGAAGAGATAATGTAATAGAGTTTATGAAGAGTTAAATAATCTCAGATTTGCACTGGAAAGAAAAGCTCCATGCGTGATTCTTTTCTTTTTTTCTCCAAATGAGAGTTATCAAAATGATACACATTCACACTGTCATTAAGTGATAATTGGTTGACACAGAAGAAATTATAAGAATAAAGAAACTTTAAAACAAATTATTTTGCTATCATTCTGGTCAAGTTTCTCTCTGGGAATATATTTCATAGCTTGCCCTTCATGGACATCAAATAAGTAATTGAATCTGTGAGAAAAGGGTCATGGAGATGTATCTGTGAGTCTGTGTTGAATGTAGACCATTAACCATTTGATGACCACTGACTAGAGAATTTCTTTCCCTCTACTTTAGTCACAAAGTTACAATTTATTTTGTGCCTTTACAATGTTCTCTATTAGCTAGAGACTGTGGTGCACTCAATGTAAGTATGTATGATGCCGTTTTTTATTTACATAAATTAAAGCAACAGAAAGTAGACTACCATGTAAAATTTTGGACATATACCCAAGATTATTGACAAAAGAAGTGGCTAAACATAGTAGATTCATCTTTATGAATTATTATGATATAATCTGTTTTTATGTGGATGATATGTAACCACTTCAATGAAGCAATAAGAAAACAAGGCATTAATTAGGTTTATTGCAATGTGAGATCATTGCTATTCAGCTAGTATATGGTACCTCATCTAGGACTTATAAAAATAATTATGAGGACTTGGTGTAGTGGTTCATATGTATAATTTCAAGTACTTAAGAAGAGAATATTTTCATCCACAAAGATCATTTACATAAGAAAGAGGAATGGTATTTGTATTTTGTATGGTATTTTGTATATGAATTTTAGATGAGACACAACAAGGGAGAAGCAGAGAAATAAAATAAAAGAAGTCAATGAGGAGTTAACTTGCTTTTGCCTCAACATGCATTTTAATATGCTATTAGGCCTGTGAAAACAGTCTCAACTAAATCTGAAGTGATGTGCTTCCCCCTTGCATAGTAATGATATACAACCCCACACATAGTTCCTTAGTTTCTCTAGACCTTTTCTTCTTCCTCATATCAACACTTTATGTTAGTGTCATTATAAAGTAATGAGATAATGTGTATTTGCATAAATCATGCAAAACCTCTAACCACTTTATAACTATGACATTTATATTTATGGAGACTGTTGGAATATAGATGAAGTAGGGAAAGTTATTCAATATTTATAACATTTAATGCAAGGACAAAAATAAATTCAAATAAGAAAAATTGTTTACAATGAACAAATCATCCTAACAATAAGAGACAATGAACTGCAGCTAAAGAAGGAAACATTTTAGCAATAAGCACTTGATTTTAAACATTATAGAATTAAAGGGAGTTTTGAGAAATTTTAGAACTTTGAAAACTGTAGAATATAATCTTTGTAAATATATTCACAGATATATGCACATGTATGTAGATGTGCATGAATCCATACACACACATATTATCTGAAATATTTTAGGAGAACATATCTTTTATTAACATGTCTTTTGTGTATGATTTGTGCCTGAAAATAATTTATTACTAGGAAGGAAGAATTAGAAGACTCAATATTATTTTGTGTAAGTATGCAAACTTACTAAAAGAAATATCAATCCTTATCAATTTTTACAATCATCCAAAACTATTAAGTAATTTTTCCTAATATAATTAATTGCAAGAGAAAAATTAAGTAATACTTAGCATAATTTTACCTGCTTGATACATTATAATTTTCTTGAAGAACACAACTTTTTATATATATATATTTTTTGGGGGGGAGGGTCCGGTCGTGGGGCCTGAACTCTGGGCCTGGGTGCTGTCCCTCAGCTCTTCAGCTCAAGGCTAGCGCTCTACCACTTGAGACACAGCACCACTTCTGGCTTTTTTCTTTTTGCTTATGTGGTGCTGAGGAATCAAACCCAGGGCCTCATGCATGCAAGGCAAGCGCTCTACCACTG